CTTCAATTCTATGGATATATAGCTTCTTTTAACTACTTCGTAGTGGATAGAATAGGACATTTTCATCCGTAAAATTTTTGAGCTCGGCCATTATCAATAAATTACATGCATTGCCTGCCGTCTGACGTGCAGTTGAAGAGAGAAATTCGCCGAGGACAGTGTGAAGATCGGAAACGGGTCTCTCGGGAGTCCACCCGACTAAGGATCAGCGAATGAGCATTGCACTTGGAATTATCTGAAGAGTCATACTTCAAGCTAACTTCGGCAAAGAACGATGGCCGAGATGCTCGACCACACCGGTATGCTCGGCCATTGGGAGACTCGGCCATCAGACGTTCGCCGATTCGGCATCAGCGAACCTGGATCAACCTTGGAAATTAACGTGGGTTACAACCTATACAGTACTCATTATTGACATCATGTACTTGAACATAATATGGCTTAAAGACGAACAAGAGGAAGAAAAGAAATGCAATAGCAATATGAGATCTATACCGGCCTAGGTAAAAAGTACCTAGTACGTACCAGAGGTAGAGACAGTAAAGAAGCCAATATAGCCCCCGGAATTAAATGAACTCAAAACAAATACAAGGAAAAAAAGAACCATGACAATGGTATGAAATGAAACACCAGTACCAGACCAATTCAAAATCCCAACCCGAATATGATCCCATCCCCGGTGGTTATGCTGCCAACCCATCCGCTGTAAAACAAGTACGCCGACCAAGACCTGGGCCCATGAATGAAAACTGGCTTAAGCAAACCTGCGTTTGGTTGGGCTCGGTGTCCGAAGATGCTGTTCCCGCTCACGAGAGCGCTCAGTGACAAAGTCCATCGCCCGTGTGTTCTCGAGCATCAGGGGCTGATCTTGTTTCTCATTGTAGGCGTCGGCTTGAGTTTGCCGAGGGTCTTGCTGCCCATAGTACCCGAAGGAGGGATTATGCTGCAGCTGGGGGTGCATAGATTGGGGTGGGGGTGGGTGTTGCGCGTAGTGCTGTTGCTGAAGACGATGTCTGAATGAACGGAATGACCAGTTGCTAACGACGGTGACAGTGGATATAGTTGCAAGGAAGAACAGCTAGCATACGAGTCAGTAAAGATCGAAAACTGAGTGTCCAAGGAAACTCACAATCGCCTTCCAGCTGATGGGGTCAATGAAACTGTTGATGATAATGGCCATTGTATGCGCGGAGACCTTGGCGCGGCCAACCTTTGCTGGGTCACGATTCATGCACCGTTCCCAGTTCTCACATATAGTCTCCAGGGCCGGCGCGCGACTCGATCGCCCGCAGTCGTTGTCGACGTAGCTTTTCGTGCAGACCGCCATGTCGGCCAAGATAGTATCGGACATTTCCTGTGCAGCCTGCTCGAACTCGGCGCGGATGGCCGACACAAATCCGAATACGACATAGACGGCCAGGGAGAACAGCGACAGATTTACTACCAGTTGGGCCCACCATGACAGGATGGCGGGGACATTCGGGTGTGCCTCCAGCATGCTGAAGAACTCGGACCAGGATGAGACTTGCGAGCGATCCTGGCCGGACTTCTGTCCCTTCCCTTGTTTCGTGGCTTTCGTCGACTTCTCTTCCCTGCTGCTGGGCCGGTCTCGGTCGCTCTCATCATCGCTGTCGACTCGTATCTGTCGGCCAAGTTCCTTGTCTCTCCGTCGTTTCTTTTGTATCCGGTGCAAGGCTGCGTTGGAGTGGTGGGTCAGCCGAGGGATTTCGCCTCGCCCTGGGCTCTGCGGATTCCGGCCATGAAAGTTAAATAGTGACGAAGTCCCCCTCCCTGGCTTATATTGCTGCTCGGGCGTATCCTCGTTATCTGCGTATTCCGGGGATGACATATTTTCAGCACCAGATGAGAAATCCACATCGAATTTCCGTGGCGTTTGGAAAGCAGGTTGGCCAAATTTAGCTTTTGGTGATAGTGGTGCGGGTTGTTGTCGGGGCTGTGAAAAGAGGAAGGGTTGAGAGTTTGGTTCGCGGAGAGAGGGTAGCGCTTGCTTCTGGGGGGATTCGAATGCGCTGTATGTTCCTGTGCGAGTGTCAGAGGGCTCTAGACTGCAGTCGTTCAGACTGGGATACGAACGTTTCTTGTCATGCTGTGCTCCAAGCTGGTAGAAGGGCGAAGTCACATCGCCGGGGGCCCGAGTTTGCCATTCAAAGTCCATTGGACTCTCTCCCGTTCGCTTCTCCATCTTTATGTCAAGCAAAATATAGATCTGTAGCGGGTGGATGATGAGTGTTAGAAGGCGGGAAGTTTTTGTTTGGGGTAAACATCCAGACTCCCGTAGCAACCTTGGCATTAACACTCTTTATCTCCGAGAAGGACTGTACTTCCGCTTTTTCAAATATTTTTGCTTTTATTGTACTCATTCTTGGTATAGTCTACAGCTCGAGAAAGAAGTTTTAGGTAGACGTCGTGCTAAAACGGGCCCAATTTAAATCTTGACATCGGCCTGTGGAATAGACTACAGATCTATATACCTACAAAGTAGACATTGCAAGGATATAGATAGACTCGAATCAAACATCGAAGCAAGATCATTTTGATGCATTGGGCGACCAGCACCCACTATGGGTATTAAACAAGATGGAAAGCATATAAGACAGACAACATAAGAAGCCATCTACTCATCCATCTGCCACTGGTATTCCAAAGCCTCAAAGCGGCTCTTCTTGTTCCGCGACGCAAACCAGTCCTTCTCAAACCCATTGGCCCTATCCACTCCATCCCAGCGATGCCCTGGCCGGATCCCATACCGATTAGGCTCGAAGGAACCACGATAGAGCGGCCGCCCCGTAACACTGGCTCCTGCATCGCGCCGGGCCGTAAGGAACTCCGCAGCGGGATCATTCCACCGATCGCGGGCCCTCATGTCTTCATTCATTTCTTCGTCCTCGATCGTCCGTGCAAGCGGCATAGCCTTGATAGCTTGTAGGTCCTGTCGCCGTTCCTCGCGCTGCTGTCGCTGCACATCTCCCATCAACGCCTCGCGCGCCTGTTCTTCTTTCTCGCGCTTTTCTTCTTCTGCGCGCCGGGCTTCGGCGCGTTTCATAGCCACGTTGATGATTCGGCCGGATGCGTCTCGGTATATCGTTTCTTGGCTCTTTTTGTTCGCCGCTGAGGGATCGCGGTATTGTGCTTCTTCGGCTTTGCGCCGCTTTTCTTGGGCTTTCACCATCGCTGCGGTTTGGGCGGCGGTTTGGAGACCTCCTCTTGCTCCGGACTCCATGCGACCCGCGCCATCGTCTTCGTTGTCCATCATAAATGCTTCTTCGTCGTCTGGGTCTTGCTGGGCGGCGCGTTCAGCTGCTGCATCGGCTAGAATTGCGTCGGCGGCTTCTTGTTCACTTCCGCCTTGGCCAGGCGTGGGTCCTCCGATCGTCTTCCAGCTTGACTTCTTTGCGCGGCGGAACTCTGTAGTTTTGGCAGATGTCTCAAAATAAGGTCTGTCCTCGTCGTCTTCCCCCATATTTCCTAATGAGCGAATGTCTGGTGGATCATCATCGGCAATGATGAGGCCGGAGCCTGCAGTATCGACGGCTTTGGTCTTCTTTCGCTTCTTCTTTGGCCGCTCTGTGGCCGGGTCGGCGGTCAGGTAGTTCTTTGCCAGGTAGTCAGCGAGTGAGCCAGGCATGATCTTTATGTGCTGTATATGAGGAATGGGTAAAATATAGAGGTGTAGGTTGAGCTCAGTGGTTTAATGACCCGGAGGAATATTCTTCCGGACTGTATGCCGCCTAGCGCTTTGTGTTAACAAGGCAAACGGTAATTGATTATGGACTCGGCAATGTAGAGGAAGACTTCAAGTTTTGTTGCTGAAATTATTTTGGAGGTCTGCACAATGCCACGCTCCGAAGAAGCAGAGTGGTGGGCCAACGCAGTCTACGAGGCCATCCAAGAGGTCCCCCGGGGCAAAGTCACTTCCTACGGTCATATCGCGCGCCTCCTTGGTGAACGTATGGATGCGATTATATGGTTGTTGTAGATTTGCTAACCATTTTCTCTTGGTAATAGCTCAGCGTCCCCGTCAAGTCGGGATCTGTCTCAAGGTACTTGCATCGCCGGAGTCTGGCTCGCACTTCAATTCGAACACCGTGCCGTGGCAGCGAGTGATTAATTCCAAAGGCATGATTTCGCATCGGTGCGTTTGTTCTGGATTACCTTATTCCACGCTCTTGCATCGTGTCAAACTGGACCGTATAATCCAGACTTGAAATGAACTTGTATGCGTGTTCCCGGCTGACGACTAAAGCAGTGGACCTGGGAGTGCCGAGCGTCAGGCCGAAGCGCTCGCACAAGAAGGTGTGGAGGTTACTACAGACAGCATGGGCGAAATGTATGTTGATTTTTCTCGGTATGGGTGGTTTCCAAGCGAGCTGCCGAGCGAAGGAACGGATGAGCAGCCATGAGAATGGGGATGTTGAACACCCATCTACTGTCGTAGAGACGGTTATAAACCTCGTACATTAGGTTCCAATGTCCTTGCATTGCATCGGAGAGTTGATAATGATTCAAAAAACCGTACGAAGATTGAATCCATACATAGCAAATAGTCATAACTTGTCTGTCTGGTGAATCTAGAAGATGGAGAGGACTTCACAGATGAGCCGGAAGGGATGACACAGGAGACTAAAAGGCCCATCGCGAATATGATCAATGGAAATAGAAAGACGAGTCTATCGGAGAGGTATGAGATGGAAAAGCACCAGACACAAAAGGTAGACAGACATGCAGGGGAAAGGCGAGGCATAAGCATACGAGCATGTCGAGAAACACCCCCAACTACCAGCATAGAACGAAAGAAAGCTTTGAAGAAAGAAGAAATAAAGACATAAACCAACCAGCATCAATCCGTAAATGGAAAGAGAAAAAAGATCGTTAACTCACATCATCGCCGTAAGGGCATGTCCGCAATGAAAACCCAGGGGATAGGCCCATCTAGGCTAAGAAAAAGAGAACAAAGAGGGAGGGGGTCACTAAGGTCACCTTCATCGCTTTTTGACCTCGGTAGCCCAGCCTTCAATACCCTCCCCGCGGGTTCCAGGGGGAATGCCCAGATCGACCCCGTCCATACCAGGTGTGTCCTTTAGCCACTCGTGAGCTGCCATGCCACCAGCGTTTGCCCTCTTCTCCGGTGACAAATCAAGCATAGGCAGTAGGAGTTCGCTGATACGCATGCTCTCCTCCATGGAGTAGTGGTACTTTTCTCGTAGGACGTCGGGAAGGGCCCAGTGACGGAGTCGGTGGATATTGCGCAGTTCACCCTTACGATTGAAGATTTCTTGGGACCATTTGCCGGACATGCAGAGTGACTTGGGGAAGGGACCGAGTAGTTCGATGATTTGGGCGATGTGATCGTCGTCCTTGCCATATTTGGTCCCTGATTGGGGGTCGAAGAGGTAATCTCCGGTGATAAGTTCGAAAACCTAGACAGTTAGTATGTTGCTCAGCTTCAGCTGCGATTGATGGTCGTGTCACTCACCATGCATGCCATGCTCCACACATCAGTACTGGCACCCCACTTAGAGCCCAGTATGACTTCGGGCGAGCGGTATTGACGAGTTTGAATATCGTTGGTGAAATGATGGCCGACCCAACAAGCATTGCCTAAGTCTGCAATCTTGACAGAGATAATATTAACGTCAAGTTCTTCTTCTGGTGCTTTGCTCGAAGAGCCTTTATCGAGAGAAATGCCAGACACCTCTCGCTCCAGAAGATCACTGTATGTATATTGTTAGATCAAGTTCTTATCAATTAGAGCAATGAAGATCAGATGTAATAACATACGCAGTTTTCTCTCGCTGGTTCTGCTTCGCATCTTCTTCCTTCACCCCAAGCAGTTCTCTCATAGAGGGCATTTCTGCAGTAGATGCTAGGTCAGTTTCAGTTCGCGCACGGTCGTATCGTATATGTACCAAGGGGGACTGACCTGTAGGTTCGTTGACCATCTGGCTGAGGCTACTGTGTGAGTTGGAAGAGCTGTGCTTGAAGTCAAAGCTGTTGAAGCTGGTGTTGAGCGGACTAGGGAGGGGCTGACTCCCTGTGATCAGTGTTCGTCGCCGTCTCCGCCCATTCCGGTTATCCTCTTTCTCCTTGGCCTCTTTATTGTCTTCTTCCTTGACATGCGCCTTGACGATCTGCTCCACGTCTCCAATCTCGATCAGCACATTCTCCGGCTTCAGATCGGTGTGGATGATCCCGCACTCGCGGTGAAGATAATCCAAGCCCAGCAGCACTTGCTTCGCAATCTGCTTGACTAGCGGCATGGGAATGCCGCGGTGATTCCACCGCTTGATCAAGCCCAACAGGTTCTCGCCCAGGACCTCAAAGACCATACAAACATGGATACCGTTGGGTCCCTTATGCTCAAACGAGTCCAGCAGACTAACCACATGCTTCCGACCAGGGTGAGAGGGTTTCGCTTGAACTATTTTGTTGAGGAGCTTGATTTCGTCGATAGCGGTTTCGGTGTAGTGTGCGGCGGATCGAACCACCTTCAGCGCGACGTGCTTGTTGGTGGTTGTATCCCGCGACAGCCAGACCGTGGAGAAATGACCCCAGCCAAGCTTGCGCACGACAATATAGCGACCATTGTTGTATGCTTCACCGACAGCGACGGGGTGGTATCCACCCTTGCAGTAATCTTCGGAGTCCTCCTCTTCCGCAGTAGCCTCGAGTTCTTCGCCAGACGATGAGGATGATGAGCGCGATGCGGGTGCTTTGGGGTTTGACTGAGCAGCGCCGGTTCTGTCCACAGCGGATAAGTTAGTAACTATGTTCATCAGGAATGTTTCAAGACATACGATTCAGTAGCGCCGGGCGCAGGGTTCGCTTCATTAGTGACGATGGGCTTCAAGTCAGTACCCTTTCTCCTCTTCTTTCCGCCATTGCCATTGGCAGCTGAAGCAGCAACGTTTGCCATCTGTTTGCCCTTGTTGAGCATCGTCTTGGTAAGATCGACTCCCTCCATGGTGTGGAGATTTGGGAGGTCGAGCTGAGAGGCGGGGCACACTGGCTTTTGGTTGGCTCAAGCGGAACTTAGAGGCGGTGGATGTTGGAGGGGGCACCTCTACCACCTGCACACACAGTAAAGACACGGTAATCGAGGAAATATTGTAGAAGATTTCAAATGACCTTGGTGAGAATAAATTTTGGAGAAAGGGAAAAGGAAGAAGTCAAATATTGAAAAATAGCGGGTAAGGCAAAGGCCAAAGAGGATATGGGCCAGAGTGACGATCCGATCGCAAAGTCAAGTTTTATAAGATCGAGAGAAATCTTGGAAAGACAGATCACCTCGGAGAAAAGAGGAGTGTTGAGATGGGATGGTTTTCCGCAAGCAGCCACAGCGTCGTGGTGGCAAATATCGACGCATTGAGTATAGACAATAAATAGTCTATAAGAATATGGATGAATGGATATAAAGAAAAGAGAAGTTTCAGGAAAAGGTCGCTGGTACTTTGAATAACTTGGAGACACACATCATGTAGCAAGTACGCGTACATGTCAGGTGAGATGATACATTCTGTGATATTGACTCTGTTGACTCTGTTGACACTCTTGACACTCTTGACACTCTTCGAGCTGTTTAGATGTTTTAGGTCTTCTATGCTACTATCTTCCCCTACCTATCGTATCTTATACTATATTCTACTAAATATTCTATCAAATTTCAGTCAAATCCGAAAAGAAACGAAAAGAAGATCGACTGCAGTCCTGATGTCACGATCCCCGCTTGGGGTAACTAGGTACCTGGCTTTATCTCGGACATTTTGAACTCTTAAGACTCTAGCCGTTGGCTTCTCTGCCACCATGACAAGCCCCTTCAACCGCCGCCCTATTCCTGACTACTTTATCGCCTCTCCCCTAGTGGCCTTACTCTATCCAGTGCACCAGATATTACTCCGTCTGCGCGGACCTCCTCGACTCCCGCCGCCAGGCACTCAACCAATCCGAGTAGTCTGCATCTCTGACACGCACACCCTGGAATGGCCGGACGTACCTGACGGAGACCTTCTCATCCACGCCGGCGACCTCTGCAATGACGGTTCCGCACGCGATATCCAAGCCGCTGTTGACTGGCTCCGAAGCCTTCCCCACCCATACAAAGTCGCCATCGGAGGGAACCATGACAGCTACTTCGACGTACGGTCACGTCTGGATGAAGACCGCGTAGACCCAGCTTCTACGGGGGATTCCTTCTCCGCAGTCTCCTCCTCCACCGCATCCATCCACTCGCTCCACGAGCTGGTCGGCACCTCGCGCATCGACTGGGGTGACATCCACTACCTCCAACACTCAGCTGTTACCCTCTCGTTCACCGACACCTCCACACCCTCGTCCACAACACCTCTCACCAGCTCCCGCTCGCGCTCCCTCACAGTCTACGGTGCGCCCCAGGTCCCAGCCATCGTCCCCTTCGGGCCCGAGCACGCCTTCACATACCCCCCACAACACGACGCCTGGTCTGGCACAGTCCCCCAAGAAACAGACATCCTCGTCACCCACACCCCACCCCAATCCCATCTCGACCTATCCCCCGTATACTCCACAGGCTGTCCCAACCTTCTAGCGGAAGCATGGCGCGTCCGTCCTGCCCTCCACGTCTTCGGCCACGTCCATGAATCCGCAGGCCAGGAGCCCATCTTCTGGGATGAGGCCCAGCGCGCCTGGGAAAGATTGTGTGCTTCGCGCCGCTCACGCGCGCGTCTTAGCCGCCTTGCTTCGCTGGCCGGATTCCTGCGCGATCTGTTCGATTTGTCTGCCTGGATGGATGCCGCGCGGGTCGTGGGATACGGAATTCTAGGTGTGGTCTGGGCTCATGTCTGGGGTGGGGAGAACCTTAATGGTGGGTGGATGGTCAACGCTGCTTGCATGTATCGTGATACTGGCCGGCTAGGTAACCCGCCGAGGGTTTTTACCCTGTGATCTTCCACCGGTACGCATAGCGTTCGCTTTTTGCTTCCTGTTCATAATAGCATGCTTCGTTGGTTTGCACTTGCTGGACTGCAGCTGTAAATATTAGCTGAGCGGTTTGATTGCGCCAGAAATGGCGTCTCCTTTTCGGATATTCGCATCTTTTGATCCCAGCCTGAGCAAATCCAAGGTTGGTTCTCAAGATCCACCTTGTCTCTCACATTACAAAAATATAATCTGTGTAATATATATGTTGGCAATTCTAATCCTGGTAGTAATACTAGACTAATGAATATAAGATTGGCTGAGATTTGCGGCAACAGAACCTGAGTGACCTCGGGATCGTCAAAGGGCTACGAAGTACTTGGATAGCCTTAGAATGTTAGTCGAGAGGCAATTGTACTATAACTGCAAAAGAGGTATACGTATACGGAAAATAAAAGAAATTAACTGACAGTTACAGATTTGTCTTGGGGGACAGTGTCCCACCTGGGTTTCAAAAATATATCTCCGTAAGATCGCCATCAATCGTCGTAGCCCGTTGAAAAGCGTTTTAGAGCCTACAAGCCAAAAAAATGCAATTTTCTCCAAGATGAACGATTTGTACATATTCCAGGGGTATAGAGATATATATGTACTCAATGTTACATGCCCAGACGATACCATCCCGCAGACCGAGGCGAACAACTCAGCAAACATCAACACCTGGGCACGAACAGAAATGAACCAAAGAAAACTAACTACAGCTTAGGCTTCTCATTAAATCTTGGCGCCTGCAATGGATCATAAGCACCAAGGCCAAGGGTATCAGACGGCACAACAGAGTGCCCACCCAGCAATCCACGGGTATCAAGCAGACTGGGATTGAGATCCGCCACACTCGTAGCTCCAATCAACCGCATATTCATCTCCATCTCGTCCTTAAGCAGCTGCATAGCACGGTCCACACCATCAAGCCCATAAGCAGACATGGCATATAGGAACGGCCGCCCAATACCGATACCCGTCGCGCCCAGACAAAGCGCCTTAAGGATATCAGTTGCGCGACGCACACCGCCGTCAACAAAGACTTCAATGCGCTTTTCCCAGCCGCGCTCGCGGAGGGCAGGCATCACCTCGGCCAAGACCTCGATGCCGGACCGCGCGGTCTCGAGCTGCCGTCCGCCATGGTTGGATAGCACGACGCCGTCGCAGCCTGCCTCGACGGCGCGCAGGACGTCCTCAACGCATTGCACGCCCTTCAGCACGATCGGCATACGCGTGATGGATTTGAACCAGGGGATGTCCCTCCACGAGAGAGCGGGGTCGATGAAGGAGGAGATGGCGCGGGCGGCGCCCTGGGTACGGTCGATGTTATCGCCACCGGACTGGACGTTTGAGCCGGGATCGGAGAACTTAGAGCGCATGTCCTTCTCGCGGCGGCCGAGCTGGGGCGCGTCGACGGTGATGAAGAGGCCCTTACAGCCGCGCTTTTCGGCGTGCTCGACGATCTTGCGTGTGATTTCGCGGTCTTTGTTCACGTATAGCTGGAGCCATTGCACCTGATCGCCTTGTTTGGCGTCGACAATTTCGTCGAAGGAGCATGAGGCTAGCGTGGGAATCATTTGTACTACGTTGTGTCGGTGGGCGGCTTTTGTGAGCACCACTTCGCCTTCGGGGTGGCCTAGTTTTCCGAGCGCTGTGGCGGTCACGTAGAATGGGATTGAGCATTTTGTGCCCAACATTGTTGTGCTCATGTCGATGTGCTCGACATCGACTAAAATTCGCGGCCTGAACCAGATTTTATGGAAGGCTGCGTGGTTCTCGCGCATTGTCTGGTTATAGGTCAGCATTGGGGGATTTGACGCCTGGGAGTATCTATATTGATATCAGAATAGCCTACAATTTCGTCATCTGCTCCGCTGGAGTAGTATGCCCACGCCGTCTTCTTCATGACTTGGCGGGCCACCGCCTCAAAGTCCATCAGATTGTAGCATGCTTCGAGTGAGGGCATGCGGGAAATGCGCTCTTGTCGGTCGGCCTCCTCCGGGTCAAAGGCCTTCTCTTCCTGCTCGACGGTTCCCATGTCTACTGCTCCCAAGTGTTTCGACTGGTCTAGAAACTTGTCCAAGGTGTCGGGTGGGTGGATTGGTTCGAACTCTTCGGTCGCATCTTTGCCTGCATACTTGAGGATGATCTTCTGACCACCAGGGTGTTCTGAGAAATGTTAGTGCACATTCAAGCAGAGAAAAGCAGTAGTAAAGAAACATTGAACACATACCCGGGAGGAAGTCGGTTACATCGTAGGCTTTGCCGTGCACGATCACCCAGCACGAGTCTTTGGAATTGTGCACGGCGACATCTGCACCGGTGAGCTTTCCTGCGCTCATGTTGAAGATGATATGAGAGAATGGTTTGCAGAAGAGTCGAGGAGAGGAAGGAATTAAAGGGAAAAGGATCTAGTGGAACCTCGGGATAAATGAGTCCGGGGGAGAAAGTTGCGGGGAGCTTCTCGGCCGACTCGTCGGATGAGAGGCTGGTCGGATGGGCCTTCAATCCATAAGTCCGTGTATTAATTCGATGTATTTCTAAGGTCAAGTCCAAAATTCGAAGGCTCTAAGGGATTGGGGGTTGAGATCGTCGTGGGAGCCTCGGTCTTGGTGACGTTCTCTTCAGCCAGTAGTAAGGAACGCATTATACCTGCCCTACGGCAGTGTATAGCTGCCAGTGCGCCATATCGTACATATGTATTTTTCCATATTAAATTTTGACCACCTTCGCTGCTAATTTGCTATTACCTCCTTCGTACAAATCCTAGTAATTAATTTCTACCATATTAACTTCAATATTCTATAGTGTCACTTTCTATAACCTCTTAACTTTTTATATAGGTTATATCGAAGTCAATCTTTGCAGCTTAAGCCATTTTTGACCCTTTTCTTCTATTTGCCTAATAAACTAAGAAGGGGGAGAAAATGTCTATATCACTACCTAGATACTAAAAAGGCTACCTAACCTTGGAAGGTGACCACTAGAAAGACTATCGGAGAAGACTACCTAAGAAGACGACTAGACTACGACCGTATAAGCGGCCGACTGTTCTTGTCTATAATATCTCAATTTCTACAACATCAACTTCTTATAGTGTCATTTTCCACACTATTAATTTCTATCAATTTCAATAGTCAATAGAATACACATATATATACTAATTTTGTGAAATGTTCTGCTAGCAAAATACGATATGGCGCACTGCCGGCTACACCGCCGTACATGCCCGGATGTTCCGTTCTCACGGCAAAAAACGTTTTGTTGTGCTACATACTGTATTCAGAAAACAACATTACCTATAGGGAAAAAGAAAGACAAACTATGATGTATTCAGGCATATGTTTTCATATATATACCTAAACTTCTATATGTACAATATCTATATAATTCCAAGATTAGCCCCTATCAGTTACTAAAGCCCCCTATCAGAAGTGTAAAATGGATAAATTGCATTTATTTGCTTGTCTCTCTTCAAATCCTACCAGTTTGCACCCTTGAATCTTTCGAACGGCCCATGGAACAAATCGCTGTTGACAGCCCTGCATTCACTGGTTGGAATGTCGGGGACACCGTCTTGGGGAAAGAATAGTGAGTGGCCTGAGGCATCTTAATTCACATGACTATATCACATGATATCGGGTGATTGACGTCATTCAGAGTACGCAAAGTACACCATAGCATAACAATCGTGTGGAGGTACGGGTTTCTAATGCCGTTATCACCATCAAAAGCTCAAGGCAATGGATAATACAAGCTGACAATTGGACACATTATAAAGTAGTGGAGATCAGTGGACGAAGAACGATCCTACCTCGGCCTTGGCTGACAGCGCCACCGTCGATCGCAAGAAAGCTTCTCTGAAACCTGGTTTTTAGCTCGGAGTTCTGGGGGACCGCAAAAAGGGCAGCTGCTCAAGTTGGCAACGCGCGTAAGGCGCACAGGTAACTTTGTTACATCGGCATCGAGGCAGATACTATCATCCGACACGTCCGTTCATTCCTCGCGACTCCCTGGCATTGCCGGCGCCTCCGAATGTTCTCCACCCTCCTCCGCCATTTCTCCATCTTCCGCCAGGTGGTGGCCACCCCTCCTTGTTGCTGTTGCCTCGTGGCTGCCGCTGACGTTGTACGGGGAGGGGGCACGGCCAAAGTGCACTGTCCACGAGTTATACCATGTGTGCATGGGGCACACACTCTTTAATCCGTCTATGGAAGTTCAGGTAGATCGAACCCGGGCGCAAAGCGATCGCCACCACTGCTTATAGTTCAACCAAACAGTATTGTAGGATCCATAAATGGGTATTGTTTGGATCACCTATCCAAAAAGATATATGGCAATAACAAAGCTCAATCCTGGACTCATCGGCAAACCGGCTGCGGTGACAGCCCATCAGAGGCTCTGAAATGATCACTCAGATCCCCCATGTCTATATCTACAGTGTTTTCTGTTCATATGCTCTGTGACATCTGAAGCTCGGACTTTCTATCGCCCAGACAACCCCTCGTCGGATGAGGTCTGTCAGGCGGTCTCGATGGACTATGAGGAGATAAAGATGGTCCTATAAAGTGCAAAGTACGAGACAGGAAGGCGTGTTATCCGAGGTGCATGATTAGCCGAAGGAGACCCATCGGTATCTCCTGAATCTCCTAAATTGTGGACGTGGACACGCGGACCAGTTTTACCACCATACACATCAAACTTAGTAAAGACTTCTTCCAATTTGAATCCAGTGGACTCTCATATGCGGGAAAAAAATGGAGTCGTTAACATGTACTGTAAATTTGTTTCTTTTGATTTTGTGGTTGCCTATATTTTTTGCCCGTATCCACTTGGTTGCAGTTCGAGAAAACTTCGAATACGCTGAGAAGAGGTCCAACGACATCATTGCGGATACTAGGCGACACTTTTCCGCTGAAGGAGGGGACTGATGGATTATCCTGCATATCTTTGAGACGTGATGTGGGTCATCATTTGGATGGTTGAAGGAAAAGCCGAAAAGATTTATAACATATACAATTCATTAGTCAACTTTTTAACTTCAGGCTGAAAAGAAGCAACGGTCAAGAAAAAAAAAGGCTCGCGGGCCCGGCCCTAGACGCCTTGGCTCTTGGCTCGCATAAATCTGTAAATTATGCATATTGGTTTCGGATCGAGTGCAACGTTGTACAACATACATGCATGCAGCCTTATATTGTATTACCTATAACCTAGATAGGAATCCCCAACGAAGGGAGAAAGAAACAACATTGCATATATTATTAAGAGATCTCAATTATAAGGAGCAAGGAGGATGTGTTATGCACATTCTGGATCGAGTAAGCGACCGTGACGATCCCTGTCCGATCCTTTTAGTGTGGCGCGCTAGTCCTTTCACGGGCACCCGTGAACATTTCTCATCGCCGAGTATCTTCGGGATGGAGACGGCTTCCCGAGTCCCGTTTCGCAACCAGCCCCGAGAAGGACGGGAGTGGCTTGGCGCTTGGACTTCGATTTGCATTGACGTCGAGTACAACGTCTAAGTGCACCGTTATATTGTAGGGACCCTAGTAGCGCACTTACCATAATCCCGTGTGCATGCGCAACCCCGATGCACTATTTGATATCGGCAAGCCTTCCTCAATGGTGAAAGCCTATTATTGGTAGGGCTTGTCCTTCACCCTTACTCCGAATCTCGCTGCCATTTCCTCGCCCAAAGAATGGACGTACTAGGGTACAGTCCATTTTACTAACATGATCCAGAATTCATGTATGAGATTTTATGTTTGGTCGGTCGGTGCGGATCCAAGCACCACACTGAAGTGACCAGGACATCTCCACCACTATAGGCCAATTATGATAAGAATCATTAGTATCAAAATAAATAAGTTATAGAAAATAGAAAATAAAAAGAAATTCCATATCTGATGTCATCAGGGACGCAAACTATCGAGTGGGTCTTCCAAAAAAATGCTTAACACGCCATTATTGATGCATTCGGCTAATGGGTTCCGCCCCTCGACAACTCTGATTCGTTGAACCACAACTACTGCGGTAGTGGATTTTTATTATTATTTATGCATTCTTTTATATTTATTATTCTCTCGAGGATCTCGGGCTTAACTCGTATAGAGGAGTCCGTACACACGGGGGAGAAAAATATTTATGCCCCACGGTGAATCTCCTTGCCACTTTCGTCAAACTCCGTTGGAGAAGCAGACACTCAAATATCTCCCTATTTCCTCCCCCCAGGTTTCCTCTTTTTCTCCGCGTGTCTCTATATCTCCAGTCATTCCACTCATCCCCTCATCCCCTCATACCGCCCATACCCACGTGTTTACACTGGGACTAGTCCATAACTCCTTTGGACTTGTATAGAATTGGTTATATCGTGATCTTCTTCTATTCTTCATTATGGCGCCGAAATATGCTGGCATGTCCGGCAGGCCCCTGAGTTTGACAGTGTCGACCATCGCCACTATGGGCTTCCTGCTTTTCGGTTACGATCGTGAGTATATATTGACTCGGTATACAAATCCAACGTCGCTAACAATCCACAGAGGGTGTCATGTCCGGCATCATTGATTCCGATGCCTTCGGCAAGCTCATGCCTATCACCCATGGCGACTCTACCATGCAGGCCTTGGTGACTGCCGTCTACGAGCTGGGTTGTCTGGTTGGTGCCATGTATGCCTTGTTTACTGGTGACAAGCTTGGTCGTCGTCTTATGATTATTCACGGTGCTTGGGTCATGATTATTGGTGTCATTATTCAGATCTCTGCTATCAAGGGCCATGGAGCTACCGCCCAGTTCTTCGTCGGCCGCATCATCACTGGCATCGGCAACGGAATGAACACTTCGACTATCCCTACCTACCAGGCCGAGTGCTCGCGTTCCTCCAACCGTGGTCTTCTCATCTGTATCGAGGGTGGTATTATCGCCATTGGTACAATGATCGCCTACTGGATTGACTTCGGTGCCTCCTACGGCCCCGAGGACCTCGTCTGGCGTTTCCCTATTGGCTTCCAGATTATCTTCGGTATTATCATTATCGTTGGCATGTACTATTTGCCTGACTCGCCTCGCTACCTCATATCCAAGGGTAAGGTACATGAGGGTGAGTATGTGCTCGCTGCTCTCGGTGGTTACGAAATCGACGCCCACGAGACCCAGATCCAGAAGCAGCTTGTCATTGAGTCCATCGAGGCTGCTGGTGTTGCTGCCGGTGCTGGTTACTCTGATCTCCTCACTGGTGGCAAGACCCAGCACCTGCGCCGCATGCTTATCGGTTCTTCGTCTCAAATCGCCCAGCAGTTGTCTGGCTGCAATGCTGTGATTTACTACCTGCCTGTCCTTCTGAAGAAGTCTCTCGGTCAGAGTCAGTTCATGTCCATGCTTATCGGTGGAATCAACATGATTGTCTATGCCATCTTCGCCACCTTCTCCTGGTTCTTCATTGAGAAGATTGGTCGACGCAAGCTTTTCATTGGTGGTATGACAGGCCAGATGGTTTCTATGATCATCGTCTTCGGTTGTTTGATCCCAGACGAGAGCGGACCTGCTAAAGGTGCCGTCTTCGGTCTGTTCCTCTACATGTCCTTCTTCGGTGCCTCGATCCTGCCGCTCCCCTGGTTGTACCCCGCCGAGATCTCGCCTCTCCGTACTCGTGCGAAGGCCAATGCCGTCTCGACCTGCTCGAATTGGCTGTTCAACTTCACTGTTGTTATGATCACCCCGGTTATGATTGACAGCATCTCCTGGGGTACCTACCTGTTCTTCGCCGTGATGAACTTCATCTTCATCCCCCCCATGATCCTCTTCTATCCTGAGACCGCTGGTCGCAGTCTGGAAGAGATCGATCTCATCTTCGCCAAGGGTTACTGCGAGAACATGAGCTATGTCAAGGCTGCCAAAGAGTTGCCTAAGCTTTCCGACGACGAGATTGAGGCCAAGGCTGCTGAGTATGGCTTTGAAACTAACCGCCAGCAGGGCGATATGGAGAACGCTGGTGAGAAGGGCTCGCCTCGCAGCACCTCCAGCGATGGCAAGGATTTCCACGAGGAGACTGAGAACTCCAAGAACCACTCTTGAGGGCTAGATGTATACGTTCCGCTAAGCGGTTGTGTTTCAAGTTGGCGGCGTGACAGCGCTGTGCGCTGCCATTTCTAACGTTATGGCTGTGCTGTTGTCTCTGTCTAATGGACAGGTGAACGCCAGATTCACATTTGTATTTTCTTTTTTATTTCCTCTTATGTTCTCTTTTATTTTTTCTATT